CTTTTCTTTTTCTATTTTTTTATCACAGCATTTTCAAAACATTTCAAGCAAAAATCTTTATAGTTAGCAAATTTACAGCTGAGGACTCCATTATGGTTCGGGAGGGGTAGAAGGTAGGAGGGAAACAATAATAATTTGGGGATAGAAGAAAAGAAAAGCTGCACAACTGATGAATGATAATGGCTCGAACCTTGGGAAAAAAAGGTAATGGCAGGAAGGGGAGGAATTACAAGGACAGTGTGACCTCTGCATGCCTTGCAGGTGCACAGGAGCTATTCTGTACACAGAGGTATTAAAGACATATTGTCTTTAAGAGCGAGAGGGGGCACATAACTGATTTTGTCTACATTTTGGCGTGTTCAAAATCAGGGTAAAGTTATGTGTGATTCAGAAAATGACCAGCTCCCAAAGCACCTGATCTTTGTAACCCTGGCCCAGTGCACTCAGGAGACTGAACTCCCATCCCAGTAGAAATGGTGTGTGGGACCTGGGCAACACCAGTGATTTCTCATCCCAGAGTATGAAGTAAGGCAAATGACAAGTACTTCAATAAACCAGTTTTCATTAAAGGGCTTCAAGGAACATTACAGCTATTTTTTAACTCCCACAAAAGCCTAGAAGGTAAGAATTAATTATCTAGGTTTATAACTGTGTAAACTGAGATATAAAGAGATCAACGGTAACAGACCTTTAGAAGAACCTCAGATAACAAGTTTAAAGTGCTTCAGTATTTGCTGAATCTAGAATCAAATAAGTGGGTCAAAGTCTCACAAGTGAGTCAGATTGTGACTCCCAACTCCCGTTTTCTTCACTCTCTAAACATTGTGACTATATGTGGAGCCTGAGAAGTAATTTTATATGTGGGATGTTAAATCAGTACTTTTCCTGTCTCATCAATCTCCTATATTTTGGTACAGTGCGAATCATTTGGTAAGTGGCACAAATTAGAAAACCCAGGAGAGATGTTAAAAATATTACTTTGTTTTTTTAGCACTTAAAATCCTTTATTATAACTAAACAACAGCAAGAACTACATCATCAGAAAATATTTTAGAGTTTACTTTAAACACAGGGAAAAGTATTAAATTGACTTTCCTGGGAATTTTAGAGGAGTAAAAGCTGTTGCATATGGCATATACTTTCTCTTCACTCATAAAGATTTGAGACATTTTCATACTTCAGATTCATAGGAATGAGCTAGAAAGGCATTTGAGGTATAGTAAAATCCTGCTTTTTATAAACACTAAAGAACTTATTTTTTACCTATGCAAAATGATCTGTAAATTGTACTAAATATGTTTGGGGAGAGGAAAGGGAGGGAGAGAGGTTACTATGAATTTTTTAATCAAGAATAACATATTGCATCCCATTTGATAAAAAAAGATTCTCATTTAGGCTTAATACAGCACATCTGCTTGAAAAATACATACAAGGCTCCCATTGACTGCTGTGGGAAGTTTGCCAATAATACTTCATGGAAGTTATCTTGGTATCAGCCTCGGAAAATAAAGACATTTTACAGGGAGTGTTAATTCAACAACACAAAGTTAAAAATAACTTGCTCATGCACAAAGAAATTTGATTGTTTTTACAATTCTTAGCATTAATTTTCAATTTTATCAGATGTACAGTCTAGGAATAAAAACAAGATCTAATTTGCAGTGAAGTTGGGTAGTTTGATATCCCAGGCCATGGCCATGAAAAGAGAAATTATGTCATGAACAGACAGACTCAACTGCACATCAAAAATACACGTGAATAGCATGAGAATGCAAAAGGTCTTGCACAAAACACAAATCTCTTTTAAAAATGCATGTGCAAATGTAGGAATAGCAGTGAAAAGTAAGTAAATGTTATTTTCCGAGTGCCATGATTTCCCCTGTGTGAAAAGTCTTACAGGCAAACTGGAAAAGGAATAGAAAATACATTTCTGTTCTTTACTGCTCCTTATTCTCCCCTTAGTTTAGGTCTCATCCATATGGGAAAATTAGGAAATAAACTATACTGCAATGCTAGTCATTGCCTGGGTGGGCACTCCTACTCTAGAATAAGACTGGATTTTCCTGGTTAATTTATTTTATTAGAAAGCAGCTTAGCTGTACTGGAAAGGGGGAAATCCACCCTTACTCCCAAATAAGAACATACATCCTGGGAATTCATAGCCCAGCTACCTCCATATAAGTTCAGACTTTTCTTTTTATTATACAACCTCCCCCGTAGATATTCTATTGTGGTGGAAGTGTGGGCTCCAGGAATTAAAGGGTGATTTTACCAAAGGCTTCAGTGGGGACAGAAGCCCACTCAGGATCTCTCCTCTCACCTGAGATGTAGGTAGGATGCAATTTAGATCCCAGGTCCATCATTGCCTCATCCTGCCTTTGGAACCCTAAAAAGGTCCCTCAGAACCTCTTTGAAAACTGAAACATTATTACACACGGCAACAAAACAGAAAACAACAGATTTTTTTCTTGCCCTGTTTAAGAAAAAAAACTGGCTACATTTTTTTTATGTCAGAAGTAAACTGTACTTTCCACCATCATCATGCTGCTCAGGAAAGAGAGAGATATTTTATTCCTGTTGATTCCATGACATTGGAGGATGGAAAAGCTTTTCTGTACCAAATAAAATACACTGAAGCACAGTGAAACACACCTGGGGTTAAGTACGTATTGTAAGGGACGTTAGCTGGTGCTGCTGGGAGCTGGAATAAGACAAAACACAGCCCTTGGAAAATAACAGTTGCTTTGTAAAACACCACAATGGACCCTTAGTGGTATTTTACAGGGTAACAACTAATTTTGTTGTTGGCATAAGAGTGTATATCATAAACACAAAATTCATCCTGCATCCTGCTTACTCTGAAAGCTGTCAGAAGTGGGAGGACATGGAGTGACACCAGCACTGGCCTCCACCACCCCTGCTGCTGCCTAACCTGCCAGGGACATCATGGTGAGAACCTCTTAACCAGCAACCACCAAATATTCCTGTCACAGTCATTAAATAAATGGCCCTGAAATCCTTAAAGTTTGCCAGAAACAACATAATTCTTTCAAAGGAGCCAAGTTAGTAAGTCAGGCCGTGGAGACTACTGTCCACTACTATAAATGTACAGTCTTAAATTCCCCCAGCCAAGCCACATCCATGAATATCAAGTGAGCTCTCCTCCAGACAGGGCAGAGGATTGGAGTTTTCATATCTAAGCTTATTATTCCTAATATTACAGAGACACTTCCCTGAATTGTCCTTCTCCTGCCCAAATTCCCCATCTGACCAGATGTCTTTCTCTCTCTTGCTTTCACCTGTCAATCATGTTCACAGCTGAAATTTGATTTCTCTCCCAACAGTAACCTCAGATGAAATATTACCATAGGGGTCAGAACTGCCTGAACCTTGCCGTAAAAGTTTGTTAACTCTTCCAAGACCCAAGAGCTATTTGCTTAAAACTAACAGATTTTGCTGCTGGTTGTTTTATTGTTTTTTTTTTTTTTTTTTTTTTTTTTTGTCAATAATATGTGAAAATACAACCACAAAATACTGAAGGAAGACACAAGGACTTGTCCCAGAGAGCAGCAGGCTAAGCAAGGCTTGAGATCATAAGTGTCGATAAGGGAAAAATATTTTCTTTTTTATTATATGGATAAAAAAAATAAATATCACTAATTTATATAACTCTAATAGTCACATATATGAATTACAGGAAGCGTGGCAGATTTTCCTATGGGATTATTGAAATTAGAAGTGTTTCCCTAGGAACAAGTTGATGAATCAAGTGCTGCACCTTAGCAATTAAAACACATGCTTCATGTTTTTACTTCAGCTGATAGCAACTTGGCTCTATTCTTGCAAAAAAAAGCATATTGCCCTCAAAGTTTTCACAAAAAAACCCAAGAGGTCTGGTTTTCCTCTCATTTACAGTGGTGAAAAACAGAAAAAGAAAAATGCCATGCAGGCAAAACCCTATCTAGGGTGTTCCTCAGGGAAGAGGAGCATCAGGCTTAAAAAGAAGGTCCTGTAGTGCTCCTTGAGAAACCTATTCCTACAGCCCATACACCATCAAAACCTCCTCTCAGTTCCCTTTAATGTACAGGCTACAGCACCAAGTACATCCTCCCCATCCTCACTTAAATTTTAAATAATAAATCTTTTACTTTCTTATTTATTTTCAAAATTGACAAATAAATCTATTATTTTAATTTATTATTTACATTTCTTTTAAAAGATAAAAAACAAATCTATTATTTAAACAAGCTTAATAAAATTCAGCTGTTTCTAACAGCACTTAACCGTTGATCAAAGCATGGCAGGCTGTATGGCAGGCTGTGTTCATAACTAAAATAGGAGGCTTCATAAAAAAAATTCACACAGGAATCTGTCATTGCAACCTTGGTGCTCATTTAACCCACTTAGTATTTTTATAGTCAAGGTCAATAAAAGTCAGATTCCATGGCAAAAAAAAAATAAAGTGCCTGTTTGAGTCTAGCAGGGGAAGGGATTGAAAGTTTTAATTCCCACATTTTCATTAGCAGCATATTTTTTAGTCAATGTTGACAGATTGAATGAACATGAATTTCCAGAGGAAAGCAGTGCTGTGAATTAAACTCTATTGTAATTTGTAAGTACTGAAGTCATCTAACACAGACTCATGATTTTCATCAAGATCTGAGGGAGATCTTCAGAAGACCCATCCTTAATCCCCATAGCTGATGTCTGAACGCTAGCATTTGAAGAAAAAGAAAGAAAACATTTGCAAAGGATTATATATGAGGTGTGGGACGTGAGAGAGCTGCCTGGCTGACAGAAGCACAAAGCCCCATCACTGCAAGTGGTTCTTGCAGGCACCTGAAATCAGCCTCACCCAAAAGCCCAGGAAACTGCACCACAGCCTGTCACCGGCTCCCCAGGGCTGAGCAAAAAGCACCATCTTAGCAGCAGAAAACAAAGCAGTGAAATTACCACCCCTGCTGAAATATGGCAAATTGCTAATGAAAAGGAAAACATACCTTTTATTTTTGACCTCAGGTAACAGGGATTTTCACATCACCGTTGTAGATGATTCTCTCGGGTACCTAATTTAGTAAATATATTAAAATAAACTATTATTAAAAGGAATATTTAACATCATAAAGCCTGTCTGTTGTGCCACTATTGTACAGAATAGGACCTTTTATATGCAAATCCTAAATTAAATTTAGAAAGTCTCTTGTACTGTTTATTAACTCTGGCTGACTGAAGAAGAAATGAACATAGTTTGAAGTGGAATATTTCTAGCTCACACATCTAGCATTTACTTCACATTAATAGCAGGAGATTCTTGCTGACAAATTACCTTAAAAACATGTATTTCTTGCCTCACCAGTGAATATCAGTTTCTAATATCTGAAAGTGTGTAGCTTTCTGTATTTCTTTCTTAATGATTGTTATTAGCTGCACTAATGTAATTGGCAAAATAATAATCAATTTTTGTACACACTCCATTATTTTCAAGACAGTAGCTTAATAACAAAAGCAGAGCTGTCATTTCCCCCAGCAGTTACTCACACTGTACAAATTCATCCTGTCAACACATATTTAAAATCTAATTTAAGAAAAAAAAATTCAACCTAGAGTGAATCTTTGTACAATAAGTGAGATAAGCCAGCGAGTCAATCCACATTTCTTAAATATGGATATTTTGTTGTGTCCCTCACAATCAACTTTCTCTCCCTGGGTGTACATGCAGACACACACATGTATTTCCTATGAAGTGCCTGCAGGAATGCTTGAGCTCCGTGCATTTATTGGAACCGTGCAGCATAATCAGAGCAGGAATAAACCACAAGCCCGATCGATTTGAATAAAAAAAAAAAAAAAAAAAAAAGGCAAGACAAACTATAGGTGCTTTTCCAGCATTTTGATTCCAGATTAGCTCTGCAGCTCTGAAAACAAAACTGGGTGGCACATTTAGAGCCAGATGAATGATCCCTGTCCCACATCCCACCCAAAGCTCCCCACTCAAAAAAACCCACTCCCTCTTTGAAAGGACCCCACACGTCACTGAAAGAGAAGTTGCCTTCTTGTTTTGATTTGGTTTTTTCTTTCAGGTTTGGAGTTTGTTGTTTTATTTTGGTTTTTTGATTTGTTCTGTTTTTGGGGTTTTTTTTTGAGAAAGGGAACGGTGCTTCCATAAATGCAATACTTGGCACCTGGCCCGGGATCTCTAAAAGCAAATGACTCCTGTGGACCTTTGGTGTCATTTTTCTCAGGACAACCTCTCCTTTCATGCCGATCGGTTAATTCATCCTGTTATTAATGCAGGGGGCTGAGAGGAACAGGTTCTCAAGCCTCACACCTGAGGAGCATCTAGAAACTGATGTGGTCAGCCTGCTTTCAGTCTTTGCTGTGGCCATCCCTGCCCTAAACCCACAACCATTCCCAGCACAGCACACCTGGAACACCAACCCTCTTCCACTGACAAGGTGCATTGCTCCATTTAGCAGCTTTAGTTAACTCTCAGTTTATTAATAAGGAAAGAGTCAAAGACAGTAAGAGAGCGCGAAGGCAACCAGAGACACTAAGCAGATTTATTAATTTAAGAAGCCTGATCATCTTCCTTCATTTTATCTGACAGAGTTGGTGTAAGACAGTTATACTTCAATAAGTTCTCTACACTATACTGTGCTATTTTAAAAGGATTTCACAATAAAGGAAGCTGAAAGACTGTGCACAGTCTGGAGACCATATCTGGTGTGACATGAATATAGTATTTTAACCAGATTTAATCTTACAGTATTCCCTCCTCTACAATGACTTTGCAGGAGGAAACCCTACGGAAAGGAAAATCTGTTCATCCCACACCACAGAGCACTGAATCGCATTGCAGACTCCGGCAGCGCTTCCTACATATTAAAATGCTTTCATCGGGGAGTTTGGAAGCAGTTAAGTGGGGGGGAAGGGGAAGGAAAGGGAAAAAAAATACTAGGTCTTGTTTGGTTCAATTTTGGGATAATTTTTATTGTCATGAGGGAGCAGGGGCTGTTTGCAGTGGAGACACCTCAGCTTTGGAAGACAATACCAACACTCGGATCCTATCCCCTTCAGCAGTGACATCCCACTGCCAAGGCCTTGGCAAGAAGTTTTGTTTCAAAATCAGAGAAGCAGGGCTCAGGCTGCAGGAAAGGAAATCTGCCTGCTTTCTTACAGAAGAGGGCTTTAAGCTTAATCATATACACATTCCGAGGCACATCCACACAGACTTGTGAAACTCAGCCTCGGCAAACGCCGTTCCCCGCACTTCAGATTCTTTAAAAGCCATGAAATGTAAATCCTGCCTGCTCCCATTCTTGCTCCCTGCAGAGAACTCGAGGTCTGATCCAAAAAGTCATTTTAAAAGATCCCTTTGATTGCCTTTGGGATTAGATTTGTCTCTGTGTGTGCACAGATATAAAGGAAAAATAAAGGAAGAAAAGGGAGAAAATTCAAGAACTAGAAAAAAAAGGAAGAAATAGAAAAAGGAAAGAAAAAATAGGAAAGAAAAATTAAGAAAGAAAAAGAAAAAGAGGGAGAAAAAGGAAAAAGAAAAAGAGAAAAAGGAAAGGGAAGGGAAAGGGAAAGGGAAAGGGAAAGGGAAAGGGAAAGGGAAGGGAAGGGAAGGGAAGGGAAGGGAAGGGAAGGGAAGGGAAAGGGAAAGGGAAAGGGAAAGGGAAAGGGAAAGGGAAAGGGAAAGGGAAAGGGAAAGGGAAAGGGAAAGGGAAAGGGAAAGGGAAAGGGAAAGGGAAAGGGAAAGGGAAAGGGAAAGGGAAAGGGAAAGGGAAAGGGAAAGGGAAAGGGAAAGGGAAAGGGAAAGGGAAAGGGAAAGGGAAAGGGAAAGGGAAAGGGAAAGGGAAAGGGAAAGGGAAAGGGAAAGGGAAAGGGAAAGGGAAAGGGAAAGGGAAAGGGAAAGGGAAAGGGAAAGGAAAAAGAAAAAGAATGAAAAGAAAAGAAAAGAAAAAGAAAAAGAAAAAAAATGAGAGAAAAAGAAAAAGAAAAAGAAAAAGAAAAAGAAAAAGAAAAAGAAAAAGAAAAAGAAAAAGAAAAAGAAAAAGAAAAAGAAAAAGAAAAAGAAAAAGAAAGAAAAAAGGAAATACTGTGGCCAAAGCCGAGAGAAGTGCTCTGTGGACATACCTAGGGCCGGGCGGCCCGTGGGAGCCGCCGGGTGACAACCGGAGCTCCGCTCAGGATGCGCGGCCGGACGGATCCATAGCTCCGCCCAGACTCCCCTTTTGTCGCAGGGATGGGATTTGGAGAGAAACAAACAAAACACAAACAACCAGCGGATGCGGTGCTCACCTTCCCGCCCCTCCCGGGCCGGGGCCTGTCCCCCGCACCTGCCTGAGGCGGGACCGCGGCTGGGCGGCCGCGGCAGCCCCGGGGGCCGGGGCTAAGCCTGGGGACGGGGACTGGGCCAGGGCCAGGGCCAGGGACTAGAACTGTACCAGGGACAGGGGCTGTGCCCGGGGTCAGAGTTGTGCCAGGGCCGGGAGTTGTGCCCGGGAGTTGTGCCGGGGCCGGGGGCTGTGCCCGGGATGTGGGGATGTGCCCGGGACAGGGCTGTGCCCGAGACAGGGCTGTGTCTGGGCCGGGGGCTGTGCCCGAGGTCAGTGCTGTGCCCGGGATGTGGGGCTGTGCCCGAGGTCAGTGCTGTGCCCGGATCTGGGGCTGTGCCCGAGGTCAGTGCTGTGCCCGGGATGTGGGGCTGTGCCCGGATCTGGGGCTGTGCCCGGGATGTGGGGCTGTGCCCGAGGTCAGTGCTGTGCCCGGATCTGGGGCTGTGCCTGGATCTGGGGCTGTGCCTGGATCTGGGGCTGTGCCCGGCTGTGCCCGGCTGTGCCCCTGGACGTGGCGGCCGGGCCGGGCCGGGCCGGGCTCAGCGCAGCCCCCGAGTGCCCCGCCGGCCGCGGGCCGGTGCCGTGAGGGACGGGGAGGGGCTGCATCCCTGCACAGGCAGCCCGGCCCGGGGCATTCGGGAACTGCTGGAAGCAGGGATGTGAAAATCCGTGCCAGAACCATCCCCAGGGCTGCTGCTCCCCCGGCCGAGGCAGGTGCCGGGAGGCATGTGGGCTCTGAGCTCTGCCACACCCCACTGTACCCACATCCTGCAGCCTTTCGGGGACACCCAGATTTAATGGAAACCCCAAGGACTGAAGGTCAGGGAGATGCCAGAGCCTTCGCTGGAACAGGGCATTTAGGCTCGACGCCTCCGTCCACAGCCATCGGCATCTCTGCTGTATCAGGACAAGCTGGGGCAACATCGCTCAGGACTGTGGGTCTATGAATTAACAATTGAGAGCAGCACCCAGGGACACTCCAACCTCTACCCCCGCTGGAAACTTGAGGACACTGCTCGATTTGTTATTTACTGGGGATTTTTTTCTGCATAGAGGAGAAACACCAGTTCTGGCAAACTTCTGCTCTCGCTTTGATTCCTTCTACATAAGATGTATTGAGATGCATTATAAAACAATGACATTTATTAATTAAAAAAAAGAGAAAATCATGTCACAAAGTCCACAGGGCTTCAAAACAAGCAAGGAGAGAGGCAGGGCAAGTTCTGTCCTCGTCACTCACTGCACCACGATCCCAGGCCTGCACACTTCACTGCACGTCGCAGGTGACACAGTTTTAAAAGCCAGAATTTGGAGGGAAAAAAGTGGGTGCAGCAATAGTGAACAAAAATGATCATTTCAGAGGATGCTGAAATACGGGCAGTGTGCATCAAGGGCACTGAGATGTTGTCACACCGTGCCGGGTCAGCCCGATACGGTGATAGATAGCTCGGGATGGAGCTGCCTGTCTGCCAACTACAGCCTCGCAGATCCCTGGCCTCTTGCTTTCCACTTGATAACCTAAGTCACATCCTGGACTATTTTTGCATTGTGTTGGCTTAGAGCTCACAAATCTGAATGCACTCAGCCCTCAGAGTGACAAATGTTATTCTCGGTTCTCCCCCGCAATTTCAGGCAGTCAAGAATTAGATGCAGCATAGTGTACAGTATTTTAATCTATTGATTTATATGTGCTGTGCCCAAAAAATTCATCAGAGGGGCCTTAA